TATCTTTTTATAAAGAACGCCTAATCCCGAAGCCCTAACCCCACTTCAAAAAACATTATAGGAACCTTAATAAACTCCTTACTTACAAGAACCGTTAAACATTTAGACGAAACTCTTTAATGCCCCTATAAGAACCCTCAACACCCTTCTAAGAACCCTTATAAACCTCCCAGAAGAAGCCTTATTGTAACCAACCCATATAATCCCTCAAGCCTAAACCTGCTTGTCAGAGCCCCGAAAATCCCTGAACCCTAAACTTGCTTGTAGGAGCCCCTATAAATCAAGAAACCCTAAACCCTAAACCCTAAACACTAAACCCTAAACCCTATAAATCAAGAAACCCCAACCCTGCTTTTAAGAGTCGGTCTATAAAGGAACCTGATACCGATAAGACGCGCCTTCTCCCGAAGCTGTGCCACTGACTCGGCCAAGGACTCGACCTGAACCCAGTTAGGGTTTAATAGGAGTTTAGAGGGTTTAGGGTTTAGGGATTAGGGTTTTGGGTTTAAGAGGAGTTCAGGGCTTGTTTTTGTCTTCAAGCCCCTTTATACTCCAGCCCTTGCTCCGTGGACTACAGTAAGGCCGATGCGGCCAGAGGACGACAGCCAGGCAAGCAGGGTCTGGGGTTTCGGGTTTAGGGCTTTGGGTGGTTTTGGGGTTATAGGGGTTTTGGGGCCTGGGGGTTATAAGGTCTTGGAGGGTTTAGGGTGTCACAGGTTTTTGGGTTTGGGGCTTGCAGGCTTTTTGGGGGCTTCAGGGTTCAGGCTCGGGGGATGTGATTTGGGAAATTCGTGTTGTTGAAGAGTGTCGACTGTGGGGTTTTTGTTTAGTTGAGGCAATGACCCAACTGTGCGGTTAAGGGCTTTTGGCCTGCCCTCGAAGACAGCGCCGACTTTCCAGGTGCGAGCCCGTGCCTTCTCTGTACAAGCGCGTGATAGCTTCAATGATGAAGCTGGCTTGAACAAACACGGCGACATTTGATATATCACAGGGGCCTGAATAATTAGAATAGGGTTTGGGGGCCCATTATCTTCTGTAGGCTTTTGCAGTGTGATGTGGCAGCAGCGAGAGGTCGGAGATAGGCCCACTCTCTCGCAGGAGGCTAAAATCTATAATTATAAAAGGAACCCCCCGGCAATAGTATTGGTAACTATTTAGGCCCGTACATTTGTGCCGTCGTCAGACTCGTTTCGTTGCCCCAACGTGAAGGCCGAGGACCCTGGCTTCTCTGTCGGGGCCGTCAAACATGGGAGTTTCCGAAAATTAGGGTAATTACCTCACTTTGGGTCCTTATAATATAAGGATCCTACTATTTAGGGTGCTATAGTAGGGTCCCCTATTTTCGGAACCCCCATATGGCACATCCTGAATCGCCACCGTGCGCGGGCGTGCAGAGATGGAGGCAAGTGCCAGGAGCGACGGCTTGAGCCCAGAGGAGCTCACGCTTCGTGATTTTGTACTTCAAGATGCCCCTATCGGCTATTGTCGTCCCGATTCGTAGATCTCATGTGCCCGTGCTGAGGGGCAGCAGTGGAAAGTGAAGGGATAGCCTCGTTGCAATCCACTTCACGTACGTATGCATCAGCGTAATGTAGAGGCCTTAATAATTAGAAGAG